CTCCATATAAGTTCATAGGAATCGAATCGCGACTTAACAGTTGTGCGATAGTTTCCCTCGACAACCAATGTAAAAGCAGTAGTTAGTTATACGTTTTTCTTATATTATTAGAGTAGCAAAAAGTTTTTTTTCTATAACAAAAACTAGGCCACTAGTTGCCAGTCTTTACGCGATATTCAACACTAGCTATTACGCGCGACTCTCAGCGCAGAATTAAAGATACAAACTTAATAAGTGGCCCATGAGTTCTTTCAAACTGTTCTACATTTGTGCCTAATTTCAGCGTGATTCGCTAAATTGTTCTGGAAATACGTAGTGACGATCATGCATCTCAATCTTTTTTATTTTATTAGTAATAAGTAAGATTTCCATCTTTAAAATTATCTTTCAAAATCAAAGAGATATTGATAAACATTCTCTTAAGGCATATCACCTTCGTAATGTTTTTTCCTTTCATTTTGCAATATTTTTTTTTCATTCTTGTATTTATTTTTTTGACCTAGCATTGCATATTTATTTAAGTTCATTTACCTATTTAATTTGTAATCAACTATTTTTGTATTTAGTATTGAGAAAATAAGGAGCAAAAGGTTAGCGTGGTATGGGCATGTCATGAGAAGAGATGAATCGCATGTAACAAGAAGGACGTTAGTTATGAGTGTGGAGGTACACCGGTAAATATAGACGTAGAAAGAGATGGATGGATTGCGTGAAAGGTGACATGATCAAGAAGGGAATGATGACTGAGATGACGGATGATAGTTATTTGGAGGACGAAAACCGCGCCGACCCTACGGGAGTAATAAGGCAGGGGAGATGATGATATTTTTATATTTAGCATTAGAAACATAAAATAAACAAGGATTAAAAATATCAAAGCTGTGAAGATTCGTTTAAAAACAAACTACTAATGTTAAAGCATGTTTTTTTTAAATAAATTAGTTTTAAAATAGACTTTATTATTCAACGGTATTCTGTCGTTCCATTAAGTGTTTTTGTTATGTTAATCTATGACGCTTTATTTTTTTGTTGCACAGACTATATTAATGCAGGTGCATTTTCTTGCTCATCAAAAGAACTTAATCATTTCCTTGTTGTAAGTTTTTAAATTCCTTCAACTTGTATTAACATCACTACATAGTATGAAGCTAATTTGCTTCCCGCTGTCTGTCTATGTGTATGATTAGATCTTTAAAACGAAGCAACGGATTTCAATGCATGCACATGTATAATTTAATTGTGCAATACTGATAATTTTAGAGGTTCGTAAAGTAACATTGTATATAACCATTTTCGTAAAAGCATTAGACCCGTGCGAAGCCGGGGCAGGTTGCTAGTGGTTTTGTATCACCCATGACTTAGTTTGAGCGGTATTTAAAAAAAAATCATTTTCACTATTAGTAGCCAAAGTGCTCTTCCAGGCTGCGTTCCACAACTGCTAATTTTCAAAGACTTCCATTGAGCCGTTTTAAAGATACGTGGTAACCAAGATAAATTTGCGCTTTTAGAAGAAATTGTATTATTCATAAAATACAGTAATAAATTGTAAGATAAACACCTAAATCGAAGTACAATATTGTGAAAAGGAAGTGTTTTTGTTGGAATAAATTCTCTCTTTGTTCTCATTTACAACAGAAAATGACATTTGTAAAATCGATTCTCGAATAGACGATAAAAAAAATATTGTTGATAAAAGTAAACTTGTATAATTTATTGCACGTATTTTACAATTCTTATTGTGTAATTGTTATGAAGCAGTTAAAATTAAATAACATTGTAATGTTACGCTTTTTTAACATCGGGTCAATGTTAAACAAAAAAATATAACCTTCGACAGTTGAGAACTGTTTATTATGCCTGGTTCACACTTCGCTGTTACAGTTGGACAGTAACGCAGGCTTTAGTTGTATGGACGCACTAGCGCCAAGATGATTCTCAGACATGTGGCGCCCCCTTTCTGGCACATGGTCTTTCAATTGCCCAACCGCGCCTTATCCTAACGCTCTGGTACTAACCTCTGTTCCTTCGCGTCAGAAACATTAAAGGGCATACTTTCAACCAGTTAGAATTAATTCTATTAGGACGCAACGCTGTACTAAAGATGACAGTTCGTTTAATTAATTTTGGAACTTCTTTTTGTGATTCAATAACATAACACTTGTACTCGTATATTTACAATACTAATGAGTACTGACATTTATTCTGTCTTCGCGCGTAAATAATATTTTTCGCTTATGCAACGTCCGTGGCGTGTCAAGGGTAACTTTAGAAATAAACTACGCTTTGCTCGCGACTTCGTACTCGTAGGTAGTAATTGGGCTATGTGTTCTTCTAGATTATGTTCTACTGTTCCAAATTTTATCGAGATTCGATAAGCCGTTTAGGAAATATGTAGTAGTAAGTAGCCAATAATTTACACATGAATGTGTAAAAAGATTTATTTTAATTTCAAATCATAATATCAAAAGAAGAGCGGGCACAAATTTAAATAATAGTTGATAATAAATTAAGTTTCTCCACTCTACACCTAATAAATTATCTGAAGATTTATTTAATTGCTTTCTAAGAGAGAGAAAACAAATAGACCAGGCTTTACAATTACTATTAAAATCCTTTAACATTATAAATATCTACCATTGATATGTGACCTCAGTATTTATCGATAGGAACTATATTAAATATCCTTCTTAAATTTAACATAAACAACGTGCTTATTAGGCTTCAAAAAAACGAATTACATATTGCAAAGAGTACCAATTATCAAGGTAATAAATTATAAAGACGAAAATTATAATCGAGGTGTGCAAACATGTATGCATTTCCTGGTCGAATCGATAAACCTTCTGACATTCTTGCTCTGTCAGAACATGTATGAATTATTCCATAGATAACTATAGACTATAAACCAAAAAAAAAGTTGTCCCGGTAACACTGCACAGCTTAAATAATAACAATTAATTACATATTTGACACCCTGACAATGTTCAAAAAAGTCGCTGAATCTTTGTCGATTGCTGTCTTGTTTTATTTTCAATGCTAAATAGGTTCTGACAACAGCGTCATCTAACGGGTCAAAAAGGTTCGTCGTACTATACTTCAGCATCAATGACTTTAGACTTCTCCTAAGCTGAGTTTATGAATTATTCATTAAAAATTATAAACCCCAGGAAGGTCAATACGGAATAATTATTACAATGTAATGCAATTGGCAATTTTAAAAATGCAGCGTTCGGCTTCCATTCGAATTTCAAATTTGAAATTTTGTCGTTTGCCAAAGAACGCGTGACGTCAATAAGAAGTAATTAAAGTGATAATTATCTTTTTAACGTGATCTTAGAGAATGTTAG